GTTCACCGCGACACCTATGCAGACGACCTGGTTTCGAAGTATAAATCAGCCTGTAAAAGACACATTTTGCCAATGGAACAAGACAATTTACATTTAAAAAAAAAAAAAAAAAACAATTGTATAAGGGTTAGCCAAGTGCATTTTATCTAATTATCTTATTTTAAGAGTAGAAATACTCATTCCATTAGTAAACTATCACATTTACCTACTCAAATTAACGGTAAATACACTTAATCTAAGCCATATTTACTTTTTTGTAGATCATTTTTCCAGTGCATAAGAAAATTATTTGGTATTACGCAGTAAAAACTCCTCTAAAATAATTCAATTTGATAACATCAGTGCATTTCAGAGTACAACATTTATAAGGTATTTCTGCCTTGGCACACAGTAGTAGTAGTTAAATGCTGATTGATTTATTCAAAAGAAGATCCTTCAAACAATTCTGCTGTTTTTTGATAAACATTTATTTTATGTTTTAATGTAAAAGCCGACATTTTTGCAGCTAAATTTTGTTTTCTGTGTTTTTCTCTTCTTCCATCTCCTTGTCTCCCTGTGGTTGCTGTAGGTCCTTTGTTAGACGGGTTCAGTTCACTTCCAGCCAGTCAGCCACATGGTGAGCCGCTTGTGCATCCGTTGATCGGCCATCTTGTGAGGGGTTGGGTTGAGTATAGGCAAGGGTGATGCGATACGATAGGGAACATGATTCTTTGCTCACGATACGATATCACAATATTGCAATATTACATTACATTGTGATATTCTGCCCAGCTGATATCAAAATTAAATGTATGTTGTTGCTTTAGTGGCCATGTTGTTTGGGTTTTGTGTCAGTCTGGCTCTTCCACCTTGAACACCTCTATAACAAAAAAGCCACTGCGCCACACTTCAAAACGCTTCCCAGCGCCATCTTTTAGAGCCGTGGTGCGAAAGCAGCGTTCTCCCCCATTGTTTTATTCATTGCCTGCAAGTCGAGGGGAGCACTTCTCCAAACAAATATTACAGGAAAGTCCTGCAATAATAAACTTTGGACAAGCAAAGCTTTCAAAGGTCATGAAAAAACTAAGACCCTGGAGAAAACATCTGCATGCTTGTGGTTAGTGCGAAGGAAAGTCGCAATAAAATTGCAATCACAATTTCAGTTGAAAATAATCGCAATTTAGATTTTTTTTGCAAAATCAGACAGCCCTAGTTAGGAGCAGAAGAATTCTAAAAAGTTTAGCGGAAAATCGCGATATATATCACCACTTCGTTTTTTTTCCCCACACCCCTATGAGAGTCTGCTAGTGTAAGAATCAATGGAATTTCAGCGACATGATTTCTGGTCCACATTCTCGTTAGCTGTTGTTATCCAACAAGTTATTGGTTACCTTGACAACAGAAGGCTCTTCTACTCACATCATCACTTGGTTTCCTCCACATTTCAATGCTGTCACATCAAGTATGTTGTCTTTATTGGAAATTGTTGAGTGTTGGATTAAGTGAAACTTAAGCCAGGCTTACACTGTGTTTTTCTTTTTCTTTTTTCATTTTCGGGGTGACTTTCCAGTCATGCGAGAATTTTCCAATCGACCCGATTTTAGCCTGATTGTGTGTCATGCATCGTGTAGTGTACAGGGGGTATTCGGTCTCTCACGACCACCTCCGGATCAGATGAAAATCGAACATGTTTGATTTTCAGTCGACCATCGTGGGCAAATCGCTCAGTGCGCAAACATGGACTCTTCTTCTTCCTCTCAGATGAAAACAGAAGTATGGCTTCATGGGGTGCGAGTGAAACAGAGTTCTTTCTGTAAAATTGACAGACCATAGTAGCCACGTTTGCCCAGCTATGTCTTTGTCCAAAGATGTTGCCATTTTTTTCTTTTCAGGGAATTCAGCACAAAATTTCATGAGCCTCATATTCCTCTTCTACTGGTTTGGCTTCGGGATAGATGAGTCCCAGTAGTGCGATCTCTCTCCGGGGCTGAGTCCAATTTGGTTTTTAGATGTGCAGTATGAGCAAGTAGATTTGATCAGAGCGTCGGGTCGAACATGCATCGTGACCCGTG